CCAAGGGCCAGAGGAGACTGGGTGAAACTGTGCAGTTAGCTGACAGTGAGGATGTCTCCTCAGCCAGCAGGCCCTCTTCCATCCCGGCTGCAGGAAATATATATATTTGGAGAGAGAGAGAGAGAGAGAGAGAGAGAGAGAGAGAGAGAGAGAGAGAGAGAGAGAGGCTGAGACAAGTTATAAAAAGAATCTATCTTCATGACATGGAAGGATATGGTCCTACAGCCACCTGTCATCCATGCCTTCCAGGGGTAACTGGCATTATATGGCTTTGAGTATCCTTCCAGAAGTAGTATATTCAAGTTATAAAAAGAATCTATCTTCATGACGTGGAAGGATATGGTCCTACAGCCACCTGTCATCCGTGCCTTCCAGGGGTAACTGGCATTACATGGCTTTGAGTATCCTTCCAGAAGTAGTATATTCACTCTATAGAGCTATCTTTTAGAAAATTCACGAATGGGGTATATATTCTTTCTCTGCCACCTGCTTTATCCTAATTATAGATCTTGGAGAATTTTACATATCAGCACAAATAGAGCTACCTCATTCTTTGTAACGGCAATGAAATATTGCGCTTTCATTTTTTGAGTAAGTCCCCAGTCGAGGGAGTTTTGTTTTCAGTTTCTTGCTATTCCAGCGATAAATATCCTTGTATGTATATTTTTTTACACTCGTATGAGTATATCCAAAGGATAAATTCCTAGCAGTGAAATTGCTGGGTCAAACGCATTGCATTTTAAAATTTGAAATTTAAAAATGTGATTCTTGTCAAACCAATTTCTTGCCATTATTGGTACAAGAGGGCTTATACATACTTGAGAAGGCTGGATATTATTAAACTTAAAACCAAACCATAAAACCAATCTCCCCAGCTCCTTCTATGAGACCAGTAAAACTACACAAAACCGTGAAAAAGAGAGCATGAGAAAGGTAAATCACAGGCCAATCTTACTAATAAACATATATCTAACACTCCTAAAGAAAATAGTAGCAAACAGAACCCAATAGTGTAGAAACAAGGTAATACATCATGACCAAATGAGTTATTAATTTTTCACCACATTAACAAATTAAAAGGAAAACATGTGATCATATCAATAGAAACAAAAAAAAATTGTTAAAGGAATTAAACATCCATCTCTAATTTAAAATGAAAAATGGCAATAGGAGGCAACTTCTTTAACTTTAAAAGAATATTTTTTTTGAAAGTCTATAGCTAAAACTATACTCGAGGTGAATTCTCTTTAAAATCAAAACTAAAAAAAGATTTGTCACCATCACCATGGGATCAGAGCTCTTAGTCAGTGAGGTAGGATAAGAAAATGTAATAAAAGTTTTAATTATATGAACAGAAGAAATAAAATCTATTCATTATCAACATAATTGTTTATGTAGGAAACACAAAAGATCCTCAGATCACCTCTTAGAATAAGAAAGACAGCTTGGCAAGGTCGCTAGATCAATATTCAAAAATAAATAACATTTATACACACTAGCAACAAAGAGTTATAAGTATTAATTATAAAAACAACAAGAATAAGAGACTCAGGAATCAATCTAATGAAAGATTTGCAAAACCTCTATTGAGAAAAGTATAAAACTGTATTGGAAGATATTAAAGGTCTAAATAAAATTTTAAAATATCATGCGCATGGATCAGGACACTGATTATCATAACAGTTTCAATTCTCCCCAAGTGGATCTATAGATTTAATATAAGTCCAAGAAAAACCTCAATAGAGCTTTCCATGAAACTTGATAAATTGTTCTAAAATGCATATAAAAATGAAGGGCCAAGAATAGACATGGCACTGCTGGAGAAAATCAAGTTGGGAGACTTGTAATATCAGATATTGAGACTTATTTTAAGTGTGGTTATGGCTCACAGGATAGACCCAATAGGACAGAATAGAAGGCCCAGAAATAGACCTTACACGTATGGAAACTTGATCATATTGCATTCCACACATGTGGAAACAGACTCACTGAAGCTCAACAGGGAAAGGTAAAAATAAACCAAAAATAGAACAGATGGTTATCCCTACCTCACACCAGGGGATTTTTCAAACGTAACATGCAAAACTCTGAAAAGATTACAAGACAACATAGAATGTCTGTTCAATATTGAGAGAAGAAGGATTTCTGAAACAATATGCAAAAAGCCCTAACCATAAAGAAACAGATGGATAAATTTGATTACATTAAAATCAATAATTTCTGCTCATCAAAGAGACCACAAAGGAGAGGAGACAAGTCACAAACTTGGGTAAGCTATTTGCCACACATCACTGACAAAATATATAAAGATCATATAAAATACATAAACATACAAAGAACTACAAGTCGGTAAAAAGAAAACGCAACCAATAGAAAAATAGGTCAAAGAACACAAATAGGCATTTTACAGAAAAGGAAGATCAAATAATCATATGAAACTTGCCCCACTTTCCTAGTAATCTGGGAAATGAAAATTAAAATTATGATAAAATACCATTGTACTCTTAATTCATTGGCAACAAATTCCAAAGGGTTGTTGATGCGTTAAGTGTTGGCAAGGATGTGGAGCCACCTGTGTGGCACAGGTGGGCGTGTAAATTGGTTCAACTCCTTATAAAAAACAATCCGGTAGAATTTCGTAAGTCGAACACTTCATACTACGTGACCCAGTGAATCCTTTTTTAGGCGTATATAGTGGAGAAACCCTCGCACAGGTGTACCAGAAGCCTCATTAAAGAAATGTTCATTAAAGCTTGTTGTAATAGAAAAAAATTAAAAAGAACACAAATATTGTTAGGATAGGTAATTATATTGTGTATTTACAAAATCGACTGATCCACACAGCAGTACAAATGAATTAAATAATATTTTAGGCATCAACATGAATGAATCTTAGAAATATAAGGTTCAGGGGGAAAAACAAATTAGAGAATAATGTGTTTTATTATTACTTTCATAATGTTTAAATCCGAGTAAAACTAAATTAGCAGTTTATAGATATGTAGAATTATAAACTGCCACATGTAGTTTTAGAGAAATTCAAGATAAGATTGGCTAATTGATGAGATGGACTAATATATGGAAAATTGACGTATTTTCATGATTGTGTTTGGATCTAAATAGACGTGTCTTTAATGTCCCTTGGAAGATACAGAGGTGGGGGGATGGAGGGTAGGGGCTGGGATGATGTGTGTGGTGGGGAATCTCTGAATAGGAGAGCCAACCTTTCTCGCATCCCTGAGCACTGCATGCTTCTCCCCACATCTAGAGATGGTCCACCTCCCCTCCACTTAAATCAGAGCCCTTTTTGCGACTTGTTTTTGACCAAGAATGCAATGAAGTAACGTTCTGGAACCTCAGATTCCAGGCCTTAAGAGTCTGGCAGTTTCACCGCTCTCTCTTAGCACTCAGTTGCCAAACTGTTAGGAAGTCCAGGCTCGAATAGTGATTGGCAGTTGCGCAGAGCGAGGCTGAGAGGGGCGGGGCCACCTCCAAGGTTCCGGCCCAGCCATGCTCCCAAGTGAACGCCGAGCAGGAGGGAGCAGCTAGCCTGTGAGCGCACGCGCATCCGAACTTAGTCACCCCGCAGAATCAGGAATAGTAAACCGTCAAGTTCTGGGATGTTTTGTTATGTAGCAAGAGAGATGCGCGCAAGGGATTTGATGGCATTGGCAGTCTTTTGTTTCATAAATTGGCACATTGGTCATTATGCTTCATAAGTTACTAGTGATTTACATAAAGCATTTCATGTATTTTAAATGTTTTACAGTATAACATATGTAAAGAAAAAACCTAACCTGATGTGCAAAAATGTATCTCCCTAGTTTTGATTTGTATCTTCCATGTACCGGTAATAAACATCTTTTCATTTGGCAGTGATCTATTAGTATTTCTTACTGTGAACTGCCTGTCCATGTTCTTTGCCTCTTTATCTATTGGGTTGTTCTTTTTTCATATTAAGGAAAATAGCCCTTTTTATGTCCTGTTTCAAAAACATCTCCCTTAGTTTGCTTATAAATCTTTTTGTCTAAATTATAATTTTTCATAGTCAAAGTTATTATTGGCATCATGCTTAGAAAGGTCTTTCCACCTCCAAGATTACGTTTTAAATCATCTCAAGTACTTTTATGGCTTCCTTTCATACTGAAACCTTTGATCCATCCAGAATTAATTTTGTTACAAGGAAATAGGATCCAGGTTAATTTTTGTCAAAGTGGCTAGCCCGCTGTGCCATTAAAAGGAATCAACACGCCTCCTACTAAATTTCCTTGAATTTAAGTCAGGACCTTCTATCGTGTCCTATTGACCGTTTCCTTTGTTACATCGAACTCTTCAATTATTAAAGTTTATAATGCTTAATATCTAGAGGCTATTCCTGTTTACTTTCCTAAAAGAACTGAATGTGTTAAGCTAGAAAATAAATCCTGTTGGCATTTTGTGATTGCATTGCATTTAGTCTGATGCCCTTGCAAGATGGAGAACGAGGTGTGTCTGCACTAACCTGAGACTTTTATGTCCCTCACGGGATTACCATCCTCAGCCCCAGGGCAGGACCCAGGTCCCACCTCCAGGGCCCACTCAGCCAAGGCTCCAGGTGGCTCTCACACCTTCTCTGCAGATCGTCAGCCCGACTCATGCCAAACCTCAGATCCACCTGGATGCTTACTTGGTGCCCAGAAATTGCAGAGAACATGACACCGTCCTTGTACTTAAGGACAGGCAACAATGATGTCATCTTCTGTGCAGAACCCAAGCAGGGTGGTTTGTAGGCACAGCAAAGAAAGTGGCATCACCTTGGGCAAGCCGCGTTGGCTCCCAGAGCCCTTTCCTCCCCCCACACCTGTGAAATGCGACTTCCTGGTTCCCGAGGGGACACCTCTGTCCTTGGTTGAACCAGGGAACAGAACCAAGGCCAGGCCCCCCCTTGTTCACAGTGCAGCCTACAGGATGGAGGGACACCCGCCCGGGGCCCAACCCCGTCTGCCGCTTTCAAGTCAAAGTCAGAAGTCAAAGATTTTTATTATTCTACAGACACTTCTGAAAAGAGATCTAGTTGAGAAAATATACAAAGCGTTTTAAGAGTTTCATCTCCAGGAAGCACCTAAGTCTGACTGGAGGCGTCGGCCCGCCTCTTCCAGGCTCAGGGCTCAGAACGGTTAGCGTATCGGATGATCAGTAAAAACATGCAAAAGTGAGAAGGAAAAGGAAAAAAACGATGCATTCCCCCAAAGCAGAGGGGGATGGGATTTCAGAACAAAGAGGGGACAAGGTATCCAAGTACCAGGTGGCGTTCCTTCCCCCACATCTTCCTCCCACCCCCAACCTTATCTTCTAAAACAGCTCCACGGTTGGAGACAGCAAAAAGCCCCACCTGCTCGGCAGGACCTACAGCCCATCTCTGTCCTGTGCTGTGCTCAGCCCGACAGGAACAAAGCCAAGTGACCCTCCTCCGCCCTGTTCCTCTGTGGCCGTGGCTGTGGGACCCCACTTGTGCTTCTGGGGTGCCTGGCACCTCCCCTTCTTTGGTTCCACCCAGAGAACATTGTGCTTGAGGAACTCATCCCCACCCCAGAACCCCAGGCTCCCCCAGGTGGGCTGAAGGCACTGACAGGTGCCCAGGACATCCCCAGGACAGCTGCCTTCCCTTGTGCTCTGGGAGGGTCCACCCCTGGGCACAGAACCCCCGCCTTGGCCCAGGCCCCGGACCTGGGACGCCAGAGGAAGTGTGCCAACCACAGAAGGCATCTGGGACCCTCCCAACTGTGCGGACATTTCTGAAACCCACTCTACACCCTTCCCCCAGCCCTGTCGCTTCACCCAGTGCCCCCCATGCCCGGCTGCTCCATCCAGTACTTCCCCTGGGCTGCCAGTGCAGCTGTGGGCTGGGCCCCGGAGGACCCGACTTCAAATTGGTGGTCACAGAAACAATCCTGGGGCACCCCGTGTCCCCCAGACCTGGGGGGGAGTGGGGGAGGGCAGCAGAGGTGGGGGCCTCGAGAGGTCACAGCTCTGGTACAGGGAGGTGGGCAGGGCTGGAGAGGAACAGGGAGACATGTCACATCTACGGAAAGGCGCCCAAAGTACAAGCTAAGTGAGGGAAGGAGGGCCAGGGAGCAGCTGGGAGAGGGAGCGGGGAGCGGCAGGGGCGGGACCGGCGGGCGGAGGCCTTCACACCACCCCGCAGATGACCGTCTCCACCACGAAGGTGTTCTCAAAGTGGCGGATGGCATTGCAGCTCTTGGCCCCACGCTTGTTGATCCCTGGGAAGGAGAAGAAAAATCCCCATGAGGCCTGTGTCCTGGCCTAGAACTGGCTGGGCCACAAAGGCCACCAGGCTCAGAGCCTGAGCAGGAACTCGGCACTGGGGGGGAGGAGGAGGCCCAGGAAACCACACCCAGATGCACCCAGGGGCAGCGCAGCGAACCCGGGAGGGCTGCGGGGCTGGGGTCAGACTGCCTGGCTCTGTCGACTGCAGAGATGTTAACTTCTCTGCGCCTCGGTTTTCTCACCTCTAAAAGGGGCAGTGATAATAACAATGATGATGACGACGACAGCTTACACTCTTCATAGACATAAAGAACGTATAAGAGTACCAGGCATGCAGTAAGTGCTCAATTAACATTATCCTGCATTACT